TACGCCGTCGAGTACACGGGTCTTTATCACCGGTATCAAACCTGGACCTGGATCGGGAGCCGAGAGGATGAGCAAGGAAACACCCTGCGGCATAGTCGAGGATGAAGCTATAAAAGCTGAAGATCGTTGCTGCATCCTATCAGGCGGTCCATACCCAGGAGATAAAAATAAAAGACAATCATAACAAGGAATTGTGCAGCAACAACCGTGAACGCTCGAAAATCAGCCGAGAAAATTTCCCTCTATATACATATTTTCTTATATTGACGAAAAAAGATGATTATTTCCCTGGGGCAACCCAAACTCCTTACGTGCAATATTCTTTTCTAGGGATAATAAATCGTGCATCGCTCATTCGTTTGAATGGTGGCATGAATATTAATTTGTCCGTTGCTGAAAATCGCTCCTCTTCTCGGCAAGGACGACTCGTTGGATTAATTCGGCCCTGAAATGCACCATTCGGTTTGGAGTGCACATAAGTTCGCCGTAACGAAGTTTGCCCATGCCCCGGGAAAAAGACCCGCCCTGGGCCTGCGGGAATTTGCATACGGGTTTAAACGGAATTAATTACTCGGAAAGTTGCGAATCTTAGGCACTTTGATACCGCTCCCCTTAAAGCTACAAGGCCCACAAGCTGGTCTTATTTCCGGATTACTTTGTAATCCGAATTCAATTTTACTCGTCGACGTTTATTGCAGTACAGAAGCAGTCAGTCATAATAAGACGTTTCGGTATAATTGCATTTTTGTTCTTGGGGCGATTATTTCTAAGAGCAGAGCCTCGTTAGCAATGCTGTCTTTCGATGAAAGTGCAAATGTCTTTTTCTTTTTCTCCGTGCATGTTTAACCGTCGATACCGACATGTACGGTACACAGGACATACTTTCGCTCCGCGGTTGCGAAACGATTCGAGGTCTCGGTACCGTGTGCTGTGTATGTCCCAGTAAATGCACTAGCATCAGAGTAAACACTCGAGTCCCAAAGTTCATTCGTAGAGAGGCCGACGAAGCGATGCACTTGCGTGGAGTTTCGCGCGCTGCGTCGAAGAGTTTGCTGCACTTCGCAATTAAAGAGACCTGAAAAAACGATTTCGAACGTTGGAATAACATAGAAATCCTCAGAAAAAAAAATTCACCCCCGTAACAAGGAATTTTACTTGCAAGAAACGTGAACACTCACTTCGTTACATTGACAGCAAAAAGCAATTACTTTACCGGGGCGACCCAGATTCTCCTCCTCTCCTTCGAGAATAATTATTTAACACGAAATAAGCTGGAATAAATTGCACGCAACGTTTATTCGGAATTATGAGAATTTATTTGAGGCAAATAATTATTCTTGTAATTAACGAAATATTTCTTTGGCACTATTCAAAGAAATGATTCTTTGGTTCGATGAGATTTTTCTTGCGGGGCAGAGATATACGTGTTTTTCGAAGGGTCGAGTAATTCCAGAATGGATGGGCGATGAATGGATAGGAGATCGATCGGCGGAGGAGGCGAGGCGCCTCCTCCGCGGCGGAACCTCCGCACCCCCGCGGCTGGTCTTTAGCGCTCCGCTCGTCGATGGCTCTTCCGGTTCGCGGAAAAGTCCCGCGGCGCTCGGGAGCGAGCTCGTAATTGACAGGATTTTAGCGACCCCGGGAGGCTGCGGAGCTTTTTTCGATTTATCGTTTTCATTTCCATGGTTTTAATGAGTGCCCCGGGCTCTGTAGGGCCCGCGCACGCGCCGCTCGATTCAGATGTCATGGGGAAAAGTGCACACCTCGGCTCGGCGCTGACGAATTATTTTACCGGAAATTGCGCGGCGACTGCTCGGGCTTTGTGAAAAAACCATCGCTCCCTCCATTCAACCTTCGGGCCCGTAATGCGCGCGGCCATTACGGCCAGCGCCAAGTCCGAGCTTTGAAGTGCATCCCTCGATTTTCCGGGGAAAAATCCCGCGGCCGCGTATAACGAGCCGGCAGCTTCGGAACGCGAAGATCACGGTCGTCGATCCCTCAGATTCGTTTCCACGATTTTATCATCGAGCGCGGAAAAAGAAGAATATCAAAAAAACCGCGAAGTAGTATAAAAAGGTACAAACGCCTCATGCCCTCGTTCGTCTGGATTTATTTAAGGAGTATTCCATATCGCCGTTAATCCGAAAAATTGCGTTAATTCGTAAGAGTCGGCGCGGGGGTGGCGGCACTTCCGCGGGGCGCGGCTTCATAAATGTTTCATAAGTCCCAGACAATATGCATATTATTGCGGAGGCGCGGGGGCACGGTGCCCGATGCGGCCGGTAAAGGGGAAGTCTGCAAGGGGGTACCGGAAACGGGGGAAATAATGGCGGGAAAAGTCGCAACGGCGACGGACGTGCCGCGTGAAGCCGGGTCGCTCAGGAAACGGCGAGGCCGCGGATGATAAAATATGCCCCAGCCCTTTTAAAATAAAAGTGGACGCGTCGCGTAGGTACGAGCGAACGGCCGCCTATGTTTTATGCATATCCCTGAATAAAATATGATTACAAAGTCCTTTTGATTTGGACGTATGTAGGGGATCTCCTCGCGGGGGCGGCCGCCGCCGTGTTTGCCTCGCTAGGCGACACTTTTATTGCTCTTAATGCAAAACCGGGGCGTTTTGCCCGCGGAATATCCGCGTCCCCCGGCTCGAGTAAGGGGAGAAAGGGGACGGTAAATTTAAACGTAAACGAGGGCCAGACGAGACCCGCTCGCCGATGAATGAATGGATGCTCTTCGGCTCCCGACACTCTCGGTTTCTTCCGCCCTCCGCTCCCAGAAGCGCCCTCTACTCCCACCGCTTTTTGTCCGATGCCTCGAGAGACGCTCTCGTCTCGAGGACGTTCCTGCAAAATGCAATTATCGACGACGAGTGAGAAGGAGAGAAGCCGGACGGCCAAAGAGACGCCAAGCGGTCGACCGATTTAGCGTGGGAGAGGGATCCACGAATCGACCTGATCGTTCAATCTATCGATCACTCGAATCCAACTCTATTCCCTCGGGAAATCATCGATTTCTACGGTTGAAATCATCTGGAAATCGCAAGCGGGAATATTATCTTCGGCTCTATGAATAATTTTTATCACGGGGCGGTTTAAGATTCCACCCTCCCTCGGGGAGAAGCTTTGAGAAAATCCATCGATCTCCGGGAATGTCTATCCGAGCGAATATTTCCGGCGTCCCCAGCGACGCCGTGGAGCGTCCTGACCTCCGCCGTGGCACCGGAGACATTTGCATTAACGTCGTTAATTTATGATTTACTCGGAGGATCGGTGACACCGACCTCTCGACTCGAGCGGATCTCTCTCTCGCTCCCGCCTGCCGCGCGTCTATCCGTCTCCGTCGGTCTCGCGGGCGTCGATACCCGAGGCGCGCGTCGTCATCCACGGCCCGTCATGGCCGCCGTGGCCGAGGGTTTTCCTTTCCGGAGCCATAATCGTAAATTAAACTCTCGCTCCGTCACGACGCCGACTCCGTCGACCAGACGCGAGTCGTTCCGGAATTCCTCAGGCCCGACCGAGTCTCTTCGCGCGAATTTATCGACGTTTATTCGCCCGTCGGCCGGCTATTTACGGACCGATGCGTGACGGTCTCCTCCATCGGGGTTAATCGTCAAACATAACAACCCTTCCTCTAGATCGGTTAATTTCGATGGACAATGCCTTCGCTTTGATATCTCAATTTAAAATGACACGAAAGGGAAACTAGAAAAATGACATTTCATATGCGTCGCGTTCTTCCTTGGGGACCTCCGTAATCACGTGTTTAAGTTGCAAATGGTGCACCCAGTTTGGAGATAAGTTTTATATACATATTTAAATGCTTTGATATGTATAGAATGACCCTTTCATATCACCTTAACGGGCCCAAAATCGTCCATCTTCGTTTCTGTATTCTTCTTGTATTTTACGGCGCGACAAGATGGCCGCCTCCGGAGGCGCTTCGGACTTCTCTCTTTTCCCTTTCAACAGACTAGCTCTGATCCATGTCCAACGTCGAGGCTGGTACTCGGTCTGATGAATTTTTGACGAGGTCTTCCGAAAGCGCGTCTTGACTCCGCGTTGGGTCAATTGCCCAGTACTCATTGCCGTTTCAATTCCGAAGAGTTGACCCAACGATCGATCCCTACAGCTAACTACGAGGAGTAACCTCCGCACTCGCCATGGCGAATGCGAGAACCAACGATAAGATGTCAACTAAGGCCAACAGTGACCCCATTGTAAGGGAGTCGATCGAGTTTGTGACATGTCTTCGACTCGGAATAAATAATTACCATGCATGATCCTTCTACCGATGGGTGACGTGAGATGAATGTAGACGTCCGACGTGATATTTACACCCATCAAGCGTCGCGTTAATCAAAAGGGATCAACGATCCTGACGTAGTGTTGATCGAGTCTAGGTCCGACGAGACTTCCTGTTGAATTCTTGAGAATTCAATCCGATAGACGTACAGAAAAAAATCACGATTATGACAAGAAACTTTACTTGCCGCAAAAATAAATGGACCAACACAAATTCCATTCATAGTTGCTATACTCCTCTCTAGCGAGAATAAATTGTACATGGCCCATTCGTTTGAGAAGGGACGACAATAACGTTTGGCCCTTGCAAAAAAACTCATTTGCAAATTTAGCAAGGTTTTTATCTAAGGAAGGTCTATCATGCATCTACGATGCGATATAGTTGCAAATATCTTTGTCTTTGGTGGGGTTGTTCCTACAGGAAGCGCAACGCTCTTCTTTGATGAATGTGCAATCTCTTTTTTTTTTTTTTTTCGTTTAAGCGTGCGAAGGATTTAGCTTATGGAAATGTCTGTTTCAGCCCAACTGAGGTCGCCTAGGATAACGGAGCACCCCTCGGACATAATAGTGGCGAAAAACGAGCCGGTAACGCTGAACTGCAAGGCGGAGGGCAAACCCGAGCCCGTGATCGAGTGGTACAAAGATGGAGAACCGGTGCAAACCTCACCGAGCGATGCCAAGTCCCACCGAGTTCTACTTCCCACGGGGTCCCTCTTCTTCCTGCGGGTGATGCACGGGAAAAAGGAGCAAGATGGAGGCGTCTACTGGTGCGTCGCGAAGAACCAGGCTGGGAGCGTGACCAGCAGGAACGCCACCCTCACCGTTGCAGGTAAGACCTCTTCTGGTACCAACACCTCAGGATCCATCAAATCGCGTTAATTTTCGCATTTCCGCGTTAACTTTCCAACGCGTTTCCGCCCCAATCGAGAAGAAACGTGTACTTAAACGTTATTTGAGCGTATAGTGAACGACTATCTTCCGTATGGACTACGTCTAAACGACGTTCACGTTCCACGACTGAAGGGATGGTTTGATATATGTGGAATAGACGTTATATCCGTTTTTATCATTTTTTTTATATCATTCTTTATCCAGTGTTCCACCAATTTGTGTTTATTATCGAAGTCCTGCCAAATCGGGAACCGCTGCGGAAGTTAGGAACCCCAGCTCGCAGATCCCGGATCGTAGCTGGGAAAACGCAAGATCGGGCCGCATAAATTCTCGAAACGCGTCCCGTAACTATGGTGGACCTGTTACGGCGTCCATGATTCACGGGACTGGGTTCGATCGTCTTATCCAGAAGCGATTGCCATCGGCATCGCGAGACACGGACATCGGGGTCGCAGAGGACCGCCACGCGACCTCGCAGAGGCTCAGCCAGCTGCGACGATAGATCGCTCCACGTTTGCTCCAGCTGTTCGGTATCTGGCCTCAGCTGGAATTAATGGACGAAGCATTGGCGCCCCGAGAAGCCGGGAACTTGGATGGGACTTCAATGGCGAGCCGATCGACGCCATGGATGGTGACGAGAGCCGCGGTCGTTAGCGGCTTCTCTGCTGGACCTAGTTAGACCCCATTGTCGAGTAACGGGGATCGAGATCATGGCCGATCTCGGATCGACGAGAGCGAGAGTTGAAAATCGCCGAGTAGTAGGCCTTTTAAGGCTCTAGGTAACGATCTACAAGATCGCGGATCCCCGAAGGATCCGACACGAGACCACGTGGATCGCGCTTACGTCGCGGTTGCGACATCTAGACTCGATTGCCCTCCACTTTTTCGCGTCCTGTTTTTTTGCGTTACAAATGTTTACAAAGCGTTTTACAAATATTCTGACGTTTTATACAAAAGACCCTTTCGTATCACCTTAAGGTGCTTAAAGGAAACCCTGATTTTAGTGGGGATTTAAAATCAATCAAGGATTTTTTATTTTTTTTTTTTCGGAGAAATCTTGATTTTTATCTTCGACGTTTAGCTGGTCGGCACCGATCAAGGGACGTCGAGGATCCATCAGCCTCTGGCCATCTAAATCGCGCTCGTAATTGCTGGTTACGTAACTACGCCTAGGTGAAGTAACTTCGAACAGGAGCCTCTAAATCCCGACTGGATCCAGCGGGAGTCCCGGTCCCTGGATCGGCGCACCCACCCACGTAAAAGGCTCGCGAAGGGGCAATTAGCATTAATTATGATACGACGGCTCGTACAGGCTTGTTTACAATTACCAGAGTTATCAAGCGGCATAATTCCGCGGCACACGTCCGTTTATTTTATCCTCTCTCGGCGGTCCGGGGCTGGGATCACGAAGGGCACTCTTTCACCCCCGGACAGAGAGCAGCCCTTCGAATTGCAAAATAGGAAAAGAAGAATCTCTGCCCCGCGAGGATTTACGATTATGCGAGTCGTAATAGGCGAGCCCTTTTGTACGCCGCGGACGAGCTGCGTGAGCTTTGTCTCCGGATGCGGAAACGCGGGGAAAAAAGGTCCCGGAGGGGGTAGAATAGGATTTTTCCCAAATCCCTCCCTAGTCGTCGCCAGGTTTTATAGGGTCACTGGGGAGGTTTCGACGTAACGTCTTTTTCAACCCCCAAAAAGTGACCGTTTGCATCCAAGCCATCAATACAGAGTCGGGTAATTTCCCATTGGTAAATTTGAAAAGTCATCTAAAAAATATTGTAATCAATATACACCAATGTAATTATAATTATAATTTTTCTACGCGAATTTCACAAAATTACACCGTCATTTTATACTATTATAAATTCATTTAGAATCTCATAATAAAAGCGTACCGGGTCCACTGTTAAGGCATGAAATTTTCAATTTTACAACTTTCGGCACAACACGTGTACGAATTTTATGAATGCTTTTCAATTTTCAAGGGTGGCCCCTCGCCCGGGCGTTTCCATCGAAAATCCATTATTACCGCTGAGTGGAGGTTTATTAATGGAGTCTCTGGGAAGTAGATTCGACCCAGCGACCCGGTTCCACTTTTGTCAACCCCAGTTTGGACTCTTCCTCGTATCACCGAGGCGTAAAGTCGGCCAGCTAGCCAGAGCTCGCGCGAATTACCGCTAAGAACAATTACGCGAAAAGCTGCTTTGCGCGGTGCGTACCGGCCGGATGTGAAAATCCGGATTTCCGAGTTCTCTTTCTCTCTCCCTTGAAACTTTTCGGTGGAAAAGGCAAGGCGGCTCCACAACGAGCATGGCACGCTCGGCCGGACCAGAATGGAGGGAAAACTCGAACGAAATATTTGGCCTAGATCCCCGCCGAAACGTCGGCGCGCTCCACCGCGGTAAATTGCATTTAAACGCCGACGTCATTTGCATAAGGCCCTTTATCCGGCGGGGCACTTTTAACGTCGAACGTCCCTGCCTCGCTTCCTTGTCCTCGTTCTCCCTGGCACCGGAATTACCATCTTTTTTAACCCAAGGCTTTGAACGGCCCGCCACTCTCGCCAGGAATACTCCCATTGGCTTTACAAGCGCACACATCCGCCGCAGATCCACTATCGATTATCGGTCCCGACTCTTCCTTTTTTCCCCTGGGATTGCATTGAGATTCAAATCGCTCGTGGTTTCCGAGACGCGTGCCCACAACCTCTCGGTATTTTCGGGACCATTCGTTCCCAATGGTCACTTTTCACAGGATAAAAAAAAAAGTCACGGGGACATTCGCCCAGAGTATCATGAATTTTAAACATTGGAAATCACCGAAACATTTTAAGGTTATGCGAAAGTGGCGTCAAAGAGGTCCCGTTTATCAAACTTTCCTCCAGACTGGGCGTACCGAATCGATTCAAACTTTATAATATAAAATTCTTACCAAATCGCATTGTTGTCTGTCACATGAAATCAAGGGCAAAATCGGTTCTCAAAGAGGGAAATCGGTGAAAATGATTTCCAGGTGAGTATCCCTCGCCATAACACCCGAATCTCGTGGGAAGTTTGCAAGTCGATCGGTTCAGCTGAAATCCCGGGGGAGACTTGTCCACGGGTCGGCTAAACTCCCGGCGACGTCCGTGTAATTTATCGATAAGGTCCAGGGCCCATTATTCGGAGACGCGGAACCAAATCGAAGTCGGGAGGCGCCGCCGAGAGGAACGGAGAGAGAGGGAGGGGCTCCCACCCTCCACGGGGGCGCATTATAATGCGTAGCTTACTGCTTTAATGGGGACGTATGTAGAGTAGCCTCGCTATTGTCCCGGCGAGCGCAAAAGTCGTCCTCGCCCCTCGGCTCACCTGACCGGGATGCGCCGGGCGCCAAGCCATTGTTTCCCGGCGGACCTCCCGCAGGATCTAACGAGCGGCATTCGCGTTTTCCCCGAGATTCACTCGAAATTTTGACCACTGAGGTAGTCGACCATCCCGCGGTCCTCCACGAGGCCCTCGGCAGGATTTATCGACGGGATGCTGCGCTCATGGGAGTCCTCCTCCCTTTTAATCCCCGTCAACGAAGTTAAGATATTGGCCCGCACTCCCGGCGCACCTTCGCCGATAAATATACCCGGGGAATGCGGGTTCCTGGCGAGGAGCTAGGATAAAGCCCACTTCCCGAAGGAGGGTCGAAGGCGAGAAACCTCTGGCGACCTGGGGTTGCTCGATTTATCCGCGTTGTTTGGTGTTATCGGCGTCATTCGACGTTATTCGGGGTTATCAATGTTACTCCACGTTATCGGTTCGGTCCTTCGAGGGATTTTCTTACAGCGACCTGGACAAGATCCTCAGGGTTGGAAATCCGAACTCTGGTAGAGGTCCCGACCTGGTCGCGTTTCTGGTCTCACTCGAGTGGAGGTGCCGAGTTAAGGGAGCGCCCGGCAGGGCCCGGTATCGTGTGTCTTGTAAAACGAGTACAGGGCATGATACCTGAATTATATACTTACCGCAAGCCCAACTACCGTGTATGCGAGTATGCTCGGTGCGCATTCTCACAGCGGCAACTCTCAAGTACCGTAAAGTAGAGCCCTCCGAGCACTCGGGCTTTCAGCGCGGAACTTTTAATTCAATTATACCGGCGAACTTAATGCGCCAGCCTTGGGGGACCTGTCCTTGATTTCGATTTAGCCTGGAAATGAAATCCGCCGTTTCAGCGGTTGGCTTAGAAACGAGCCAGAAAGATCTAGTTCTTGAAGAACCTGCAACCCCGGCCTGTAATCAAAGGGCGATCGGCACCTTACGAAAGGTGATATCTCGCCCTGTAATCTGCGCCCATCGGACGGATACCATCGAACCCATCACTGACGCGCGATTATCGATATTCCCGGTTAAGTGACTCCGCATCTTCCGTTGGACCCTCTCCAACAATGAGTCGTCAGAAGGAGACCAGTCGAATGAGCTTGCACCTTCGTTGGGGTAGGTCGCCCTCGGCTACCGGCGAGTCTACGTTTTAATGCAAATCCACTGTCGAGGCTCTGATCGAACGATCCAATTAAAGCACCGACGGGCAATTCGGTTTCCCATCGACCCATCGCGTCGATCGAGAACGGAAGGTCAACCCACCCCAAGAAAAAACTGTCATGGAACCAACGAAATATTTCGCGAAATAATTCAAGGAATTTTTTTCCTTCGGAACCGTGACGAATTTAATTCAGTTAATTTCAATCGAATAATTATTTGAGTCAACCCAACATTTCTTTGGTTCAAGGAATTTCTTTTTATCCCAGGGTACCGCTCTCCAGCCGAGGGAAAATCTTCCTCCCCTCCAAGAAATTGAATATAAACCCTAGTTTCATTCATCCCGATAAATTGAAAAACTTGGAAATAACGAAGCGAAAGACGAGTCTGGAGGGATCGTTCGCCGACGAGGAGGTCTCTGGGAGGGCTCTGATCAGAC